AGGGAGGAGTTAAGTAACTATATTCTCTGTTTGAGTATTTAACTGGCCATGTGGCCAGGGGTCACATGTGGCCACAAGGCTCGCTCATTTTTTCGCCAGCTCAGTGAGTCATTGGGATTCCAGGTCAGCAGAATGGGTAGAACACATTTACAAACTTAACTCCTTTTTCTCCCTGAGTTATTCATTTCCCCATTTCCCCTTGCCTTGTAAATAAACCTTTTATCAACGTTTTGTATGTGTCTACAGTTTAGCTTTAATAAGTCCCTTTTAAGCATGTGGGTGAGGACCCAGAGACAGGCAACCCGTTTTATATCGGGGTTGCTCTGTAACAATTGAATGGTTTCACTTATAGGTGGAATATAGGGAGACCAAAAAACGGTCAGGAAAAAGACAAAACTTGCAAGCAAACCATAGATCTGAGGCATACAACAGGGGAGATGGAGGGAAAGGCTCCAAAAATAGGGGAGGGAAAAACACAAGCAAGTGTAATGACAGTTTATGGGTGATGTGGTGGTGGGAAATTTATGGGGCCTGCACCTGAGGGGGGAAATCAAATATTGTACAACAATGGACAATGATATAAAAAATAAAAAGTTTTAAAAATTAAAACCTTTGTTTCGTTAGAAATCAATATTTTCTGCCTGGATAATTTATCCCTTCATGTCAGTTGTGTGTGAAGTCTCTGATAGAAATTGTATTATTTGCCAACATATTGTTTTAGGTATGTTAATAAATGCTTTATACAACTAGGTGTCCCTGTGTTAGGTACATAAAAGTTAATCACAGTTATTTTATATTCTTGATGACTTGTTCCCTTGATAGATTGTGGAATTTTTTGATTTACTTTGTTACCCTGAGATTTTTCATTTGGTGAGTTCAGACCATTTATGTTTATAGTGGCTATTGATATATACTACTAATTGCCAGTCATTCTGTTTTTGATTGTTGTCTCTTTTGTTGTTTCTTTTACTATTTGTATCTCTCTGTGCTTTCTGGATGATTTTCTCTATTGATTTTATCAATTTCTTTGTTTCTTTTTCTGTGAGCCTCTTCTAGACGTTAGTTTATTGGTAATAATTGGGTTTTTGTCTAAATTACTGTTTTAATAAGTCCTTTATAAGGTGGCATCCTCTCTCCAAAATGCATCTCTGTGACTTGACTTCTGTCCATTTCTTCCTTCCCTTTAAATGTTTTGTTGTTGACTCATAATATTCCTGCTCATGCTTTTCACTTTGTGTTCTGTTGTCATTTTTCTCATGGTTTTGTGTTTTTTCTTTATTTGTAGAAAAACTTCTTTCTACATTTATTATAGATCAGGTCTGGTGGTAATAAACTCTACTTGCATCTGCTTATCTTTGAAAGCCTTTATTTCACCTTCATATTTGAGTGATAATTTTGTAGCATAGAGTATTCTTGCTTGGGAGTTCTTCTTATTTAGGAATATGAACACTTCCTTCCACTCTCCTTTTATCTAGAGAGTTTCTGGGGTTAAATCCAAGAAAAGCCTGATTTGAATACATTTCTAAATTACCTGCATTTTCCTCCTTTTATGTAAAATTTTTTCTATATGTTTAATTTTTTTAATTCGACAATTTTGTGTCTTGGTTTAGGTCATTTTGTATTTAAAATTTTGTTTGTGTCTCTGCTTCTTGACCACCATTACTTAATGTATTCATATGTTTGGGAAATTCTTAGCTGTTCTTTCTTTAAATAGTGTCTCTGCTACCTTTACAGATCTTTCTATATTTTTAAATTGATTTATTTTTGATTAAGTAATATTTGGATACCCCCATCAGGTATTAGGAACATTGTTAGGCAACACCAAATCACCCATCATCCACCACCATAGTCTATGTGCTTCCTTCCATCTTTGTTCTTACCCCTCCCTCATCAGCTCCCCCTGCCCCCTATTGGTTCAGTTCTGTACTCAGCTATCAAAGGTTACTTGTTAAGCATATCTTTATTTGACTTTTAGTTTGGTTACTTTATATTCCACATATTAGTGACAATATCTGGTATTTACCTTTCTCCTTCTGACTTATTTCATTCGCATTATCCCTTCCAGCTCCATCCATGTTGCTGTAAATAGAATGAGTTTATTTTTTTGATTGCTGAGTAATATTCCATTGTGTATATATTCCACATCTTCATGATTCACTCATCTGTTTTGGGGCACTTAGGCTGTTTCCAAATTTAGAAATAGTAAATAATGCTGCAGCAAACATGGTGCTGCAAATTTCCTTTAGAATTATTGTTTTCGAATTTTTTTGGTCTATGACTATGAGTGGGAATACTGGGTCAAATGACAGGTAACATTTAATATATATATTGCTTTGGGGATAGCAGCCATTTTAATAGTGTAAATTCCTCCTATTAATGAGCAGGTAATATCTTTCCATTTCATTTAGCATTTTATTTATATTAACAATCATAGTTTTCCTTTTATAGTATTTCACCTACAAAACCTTATATGAATAGTCACCTTATTAATGATTTTACTTTATTTCCCACTACTCTCTTTGAAGACATGAGTTGTATTCCCACTTTAGAACACTTGCATTCGTTGTATCTACTTACAGTTTATTTTGCCCTTAAAGATATTGAACACATCTCTTATATTTTGACAAACACAAACACAGAGAGAAAGATTTCTAATCTGTAAAATAGAATAATGCTTAAAATATCACATTGAAATTATTTGTAAAATGAGAATGCATATCTCTGAATGGGGGTCTGAAGGAGTTTCTGTTAAGAAAATGATATTTTTTGCACATGATTAAGTGGCGTAATTTTAATGCTATCAAGTACCTCTAAATATTTGGCATTACTAAATCATATCAATGTAAGTAGTGTATTATTTTCTATTTCATATCAAATGGCACTGATGAAAACTGTTAACATAACAGGTAGGAAAGAAAAAAAATCATGTGTTGATTTTATTTTTAATTTCATTGTTCCATTTAATTTTAGTCATTTATTTATTTACAAAGTTGAATGGGAAAGCCTATAGATGGGAGCTTTTTTATTGTTATGCATTATAAAATTAATAAAGCACCTGTAAACAGGAACCATTGATTTGCAAACACATTTTTTTCCTCTCACTGGGGGTATTTATTATTTTTTTACATTTATTTTTTAATCTATTTTTAATTGAGGTAATTTGGGTACCCCTATCAGGTTTTAACACAGTAGTGCCCTCACCACTAGATCACCCATAGTCCACCACCAAATTCCATTGTGCTTCCTCCCTCTTTGTTCTAATCCCCCCACCATTTTGGTGCTTCAATTCTGTAGTTAGATTTCAAAGGATTGGTTTTTTGTTTGTTTGTTTGCTTTTCTTTTTCTTTATATATATATTTATTTACATGTATATGTAAGTATATCTTTATATATGTATATGTAAATTTATATAAAGATGTTATATAACATCTTTACATGTATATATATATATTTTCATATCGTTCTTCCTTTTTCTACAATGCTTGCTTTCTCCTTTCAGGTGTAGTACCCACAAAATTCTCATCAATTCACTCATGCACCATCACCATAGTCCCCATATGAGAACAAATTCCCTCCCCTGTTTTGATCCCTCTCCCTCCCCCCTCCTGCATTATGTTTCTGATTAATAGTTGCCTGTTAATTTTGTATTATAATTTATTATAATTATTTCTTTTTCCTGGTCCCTTATTTGGTATCCCTACATTCCTCCTTTAAGTGAAACCATCCATTATTTTTCCTTTTCCTTCTGTCTTATTTCACTGAGTATGATCCCTTCCAGCTCCATCCATGTTGCTGCAAATGGCATGAGTCTGTCTTTTTTGATTTCTGAGTAGTATTCCAGTGTGTATATATACCACATCTTCTTGATCCAGTCATCTAATTTTAGGCATTTGGGTTGTTTCAATATCTTACCTATTGTAAATAGTGCTGCAATAAACATAGGGGTTCAAGTATCCTTTTGAATTAATATTTTTGTGTCCTTTGGGTAGATTTCTAGGAGTGGAATTCATGGATCATATGGAAGCTCCATTTTTAGTAGTTTGAGGAACCTCCACACAAGTTTGTATAGTGATTGGACCAGTTTGCATTCCCACCAGCGATGTAGGAGAGTCCTTTTTCTCCACATCCTTGCCAACATTTGTTGTTTCCCTTTTTTTTTTTTTTTTAATATGTGCCATTCTCACTGGTATAAGGTGGTTTCTCATTGTGGTTTTTGATTTGCATTTCTCAAGGGATTATTTTTAAGTTTGCCATTGTTTAGTTACAATATGTTATACATATTAGAGATACCATCCAGTAATTTTCTTTCTCCTTCTGGCTTAATTTACTTATCATTATCCCTTCCAGCTTCATCCATGTTACCATAAATAGCATGAGTTTATCTTTATTGATCACTGGGTAATTTTCTATTGTGTATATATATGATATCTTTTTATCTGCTCATCTGTTTTAGAGCAGTTAGGTTGTTCCCATAATTTAGCTATAGCAAATAGTGCTACAATAAACATGGAAATACAAGATTCCTTTCAAATTAACATTTTAAAATTTTTGGGTAGATACCTAGAGGGAAATACTGGGTTAAATGGTAGATCAATTTTTAATGTTTTGAGACACCTCCATACTGATTTCCATAAGGGTTGGACCAGTTTGCATTCTCACCAGCAGTGTAGGAGGGTTCCCTTTTTTCTATATCCTGGCCAACACTTGTTTGTGATCTTTTTGATATGGGCCATTCTCATGGGTTTGAGGTGTTACCTCACTGAGGTCTTGATTTGCATTTCCCTAATGATATTTGTTTCCATAATGATACTTGTTTTCCCTAATGATATTTGCTTTCTCACTGCAATAGCAGAGTTGAACAGTTAATAGAGATGCTATGTCTACAAAGCCTAAAATACATTAAATTTGTCTATCATTTAGGTAGAGTTATTTTGATTTTAGTTGTTACTATTGCTCTGTTACTCCTGAACTTTAGTTTTTGAACAATATTTTTCAGATGACTGGTCTAAAAATGGTTGATGAGCCAATGGAAGAGGGAGAAACAGACTCATGCCGTGTAAGTACTCATGTTAACTTATTAACTCAAGTTTTTAAGATGTAAGGGAAGAAAATAATGGAAAACATTCTTCCAATTAGTGAAATTCATTCACCTCAGTTAAAAATAATTAAATCGATAAACACATGCAGTTTATAGCAACATGGATGGAGCTAGAAGGGATCATGCTTAGTGAAATAAGTCAGAAAGACTAAGAAAAATACCAGATGGTCTTACTCATAGCAGGAATTTAGATAACCTAAATAAGGGACCAGGAAAAAGACTAATTAATACAAAGTAAAAATCAAAATTAACGAGCAACTATAAACCAGAGACACATTACCAGTGCGGGCGGGGAGCGGGAGAGGAAGGATTAGGGTCAAAATAAGGGGGGTGCAATTGTATGGGGAATATAACCAAAATGAAAATGTGTACATTGTACAATAATAAAAAAAGATGTAAGAATTATATAAAATAAAATATTAACAAAAAACAAAAAAAAAGTAAATACAATTGCTAATAAGGCAACAGTTCAAAATAAACAACAGATTTTTGTCAGAAATTCTTATTCATCAACTTTTTAAAACAAATCTAATCAGCACAGTTAAGGTTGATAATTATTTTGTTAATCAAAAAATAGTATAATTTTTAGAAAGATTTATATATATAATAATCAGAGAGGTGCCAGCAGAGAGATTTTTTTTTTAAATATTTATTGATTTATTTATACAAGAACTGGGGTACAGGCCAGTTGCGTGGGAGGATGAGAGGATTCACCAGAGACAGATCGGGGAACAGAACAGTTAGACTGACTGAAATACACTGCTGAGGGGAGCAGCGGGTGAGACAAGAGAGGTCTGCAGCACCATGTGGGATTCTAGCCAGCCAGCCGGGATTGGGATCTTGAACCCGCCCTGCAGAGACTGAGGACAGGTTCACAGCACTGTGCTCAACCACCTGCGCCACCAGGGGAGGCCCCAGCAGAGAGATTTAAATTGGGTTTGTCCAAAATTCCCCCCTGAAATGTTCTTGTAAAAATCAACTATCTCTGCAGATATTTGTGATGTGAATGGTTCTGAATAGCAATATTAAAGGTAAACTGTAATTTTAGCTTTATCGGTTCACTTAATATTAGTAGCTTACATTTTAATTTTGAGCATAATTAACTATAAACTATCGAAATTATCAGAGTTTTATCTACAGATCATGTGGACTAAGAAATGTAGTAATATTTATGTTGATAGTTTATAAAAGATAGAGTGAAGAAAATATAAAAAGCAGTGGGGAAGGGTATATTTCAGTGTTAATAAATTAGCGGGGAAATTTTATGACCCACACCAGAGGAGGAACAAAAGGTCTCTGTGTATGTGCCCATGGCTGTACATGTATGTATATTTATGTAAGTGTGTGTATGTATGTATATAATTTGTATCCAACATAAATACATAGACATATAGATATTGTCAGATATTTACCTTTCTAATTTTAATGAAAAGTGAACTAGTAAGTGCAGTTTTAATGGAAAGATACTAAAAATATATAGGTAATTAGATATTTGTTGTAGGTGTGGTATGAAATATACAGTTGCTGAGGTGAAAAATTTACACCTGAAATCTATACAGTATTGTATATGAATGTTACCTCAATAAAAAGAATAAAAATATAATGCTAGATACTAATACAACTTAGTTAACTTCAGTGACTAGAAAGGCAGTCTGATGATTTGGACATTAAAAGGCCTGAAATCACTTTTAGGAATTATAGTTTGTCGTCTGACTTATCTGGACTTAAAACAATGTGTTTTCACTGTGTGGTGAGTCAGGTATTCATTTTGTGTCAACTAAACTACATGGGTGATTAAGAAATACTGAACAATGTCCACGTTAGAAAAAAAGTTATGCTTCTTGTTTAGAAGGTGACTTATATTATTTTTTTTTGTCAAAATAAGCATAGCTATCTTATATTTGGTAGTTTAGGATTCATTTACTTTTATGTTTTGTAAGGAATGGTTGTTATTCCTTAAAACAAAATGTTATTTCCACTAATATTTTAGGAATTTCAAAAGAAGGTTCACTTAACAGTTCACTTTTTTGTTGATTCCATTAGCACGGGGCCAGCAATATGTTTAATTTCAATTAATTTTATTACCCAAATATGTAAATGTTACATTTAAGTGAAAATGTACATTCAAAAACACAAAACTTACTTCCTGAAATTTTATGCCTTAAGTTTCTAATTTTAGAAACTGTTATTAACATAGGTTTCTCTCAAAAGAATCCTTCAAAAATATTCTGTCACAAGTGTGTGCTTTACTTAGCTTAACTTATGCATTTCCATAAGTATGGAATATTTTAAGATGGAGGGCCTGCTTCCTATATGGTGGAATTTTCCTTCTTCTGTTTGTCTTTCTATTCTGATAGACATTTATTTAGCCTTGCTGTCCTTCAATATTTTTCTTCCCTTGCAAAGCTGGTGCTTTTTATGCTTTTTATTAATTTTACTTAAAAATATTTGGAACCCTTATGCTACATATATGTAAAACTCTCAGATACTATTTTTCAATAAAATATTTATAGGTAGCCACTATAAGGTAGAGTAGCTATATGTTATACCATGAAGGATGTAACAGTAAATAGTATAAATAAATTCAGTAACATTATTTTATAGACATTTTATAGTTTTTAAAATCCTATGTTTACTCATAATCAAGATCTGAAATGAATAGGAGAGGTTTTATTTCCATTTTATAGATGAGGGAACTAAAACAACTTAAACTAATAAGTAGAATGAAACAACCTAAATGGGAACTCATTTGGTTTTTAGTCATCAATACAAATTGACACATTTTGGAATCCTGAATATTTTGTAATAACTTATCATTTAATTGAAAAATGTACATTCACAACCACAGAATTTACTTCCTGACATTTTATGCCCTAAGTAGTTCATCCTAGTGATATTTTGACATTTGCATTATTATTATTACTAGTCTTCTCTCAAAGTATGCTGATAATTGACTTGGTTTTCAAGGACTGAGTTGTTTGCTGCACACTAGCCAAAGAATAGAATATTATAGAGCCCAGATATAAACCCACACATACATGGCCACTTAATCTATGGCAAAGGAGTGAAGCGTATACAGTGGAAGAAGGGAACTCTTTTCAGTAAATGGTGTTGGGAAAATTGGAGTGCCATAGAATGAAACTAGACCACTCTCTCATACCATGCAAAAAAATCAACTATAAATGGATGAAAGACTTCAATGTAAGACCAAAAACCCTAAGAGATATAGAAGAAAACATAGGCAAAACACTCCATGACATAAATTTCAGAGATATCTTTGCAGATTCATCCCCATCAGCAAGGAAAACAAAAGAGAATGTAAACAGCTGGGACTACATTAAGCCAAATAGCTGCACAGCGAGGAGACCGTAACTATAGCAAAGGGACACCATATGGAATTGGAAAATATATTTGCATACCATACATCTAACAAAGGACTGATATATAAGATATATAAAGAGCTCATACAGCTCAACAAAATAAAAACAAATAACCCAGTCAAGAAATGGGCAGAGGAGCTAAATAGGCACTTTTCCAAGAAGACATATAGATGGGCAGCACGCACATGAAAAATTGTTCACCCCAATTTATCATTAGGGAAATGCAAGTCAAAATCACAATGAGAGGGCCTCCCCAGTGGCGCAGCGGTTGAGCGCTGGGTTGTGAAGCTTCCCGCAGCCTCTGCAGCCCAGGTTCGATTCCCGGCTGCTCCCAGGCCACCGGAGGAGGGTCCCACATGGCGTGCAGACCTCTCCTGCCGGCCCGCTGCTCCCCTCAGCAGTGTACTTCGGTCCTTCTGCCTGCTCTGCTCCCCATTCTGGCTCTGGTGAATTCTCTCACCCTCCCGTGCTTCTGACTGTGCCCAGTGCTTGTATAAACAAACAAACAAACAAACAAATAATTAAATAAATCTTAAAAAAAAGAAGGGATTCCTCTTTAAAAAAAAAAAATCACAATGAGATTCCACCTCACACCAATAAAAATGTCCCACATTAAAAAGCACAGAACCAAGTGCTGGTGATGGTGTGGAGAGAAAGGAACCCTCTCGGGGCTCACAGTAATGTAGACTTTTCCAGCTCCTATGGAACACAGTGTGCAGGTTCCTCAAATAAAAAAAAAAAATGGATCTTCCACATGACCCAGCAGTTCTACTTCTAGGTGTCTATGCCAGAAAACCAAAACTTGATTTGTAAGGAAACCTGCATGCCTATATTTATTGCAGCAGTATTTGTAACAACCATATTGTGTAAACAACCCATATTCCCAAAAACAGATGAGTAGAACAAGAAGTTGTGGTATATATACACAATGCAATACAACTAAACAATCAAAAAAGATAAACTCATTCCATTTGCACCAACATATATGAAGTTTGAAGAGAGAATGCTAGATGGAGTAAGTCAGAAGGAGAAAGATAAGTTCCAGATATTGTCACTAATATTTGGGATATAGAGAAACCAAACTAAGAACCAGAGAAAGACAACGTTAAAAGCTAACCCTAGAAAACTCACTATAGAACTGAAACATCCAATGGGTAGACAGTGTGTGGTAGATGAAGGAAGAAAGAGGGGAGGAAGCACAATTGACTGTGGTGGTAGACTGTGGGTTATTTGGTGGTGGGTACCTCACGGTGCTGATGCCTGATGAAGATAATCCTAATGTTACCACAATTGAAGAATAACTCATTTTAAAATATTTAAAAAATATAACAAGTGTTTGAACAGATGGATGTTAGTTTTTCTGTTACATAAAAACAAAAAAGCTTTAAAAATCACCTTTCTTTTGACCTGCTTTCTGAAGGCATCTGTACTTAGTTCTACCGTTCTATTAAATCATTATAATAGATTCATATAATGTAATTTCCTACCAGGTTGTTATCAGCTCTTTTTCTTTTTGATTAACAGATGATTTCATCCTCCTAGTGAAATAAATTATCAAAGGAATGAAGGCAGTGGTGC